GGGAGCGGGTCGAGGACCTGTTTGAATACGAGGGCTGCAAAGTTGGCCCAGGCACTTATGGTCACGTCTACAAAGCCAAGAGGAAAGATGGGAAGGATGATAAAGACAATGCTCTAAAACAAATAGAAGGAACTGGGATCTCTATGTCGGCATGTAGAGAAATAGCATTACTTCGAGAGCTTAAACATGCAAATGTCATCTCTCTTCAAAAGGTGTTTCTGTCTCATGCTGATCGGAAAGTTTGGCTTCTATTTGATTATGCTGAACATGATCTCTGGCATATAATCAAGTTTCACAGAGCTTCTAAAGCAAACAAGAAGCCAGTTCAGTTACCTCTGGGAATGGTGAAGTCACTATTGTATCAGATCCTAGATGGAATTCACTACCTGCATGCTAACTGGGAGTCGCACAGGGATTTGAAACCTGCTAATATTTTAGTTATGGGTGAAGGTCCTGAGCGAGGAAGAGTAAAAATTGCTGATATGGGTTTTGCCCGATTATTTAATTCACCTCTGAAGCCTTTAGCAGATTTGGATCCAGTGGTTGTATCATTCTGGTACCGAGCCCCAGAACTACTTCTTGGAGCAAGACATTATACCAAAGCTATTGATAACGATTGGGAAGATATAAAAAAGATGCCCGAACATTCAACATTTATGAAAGATTTCAGAAGAAATACGTACACCAACTGCAGTCTTATCAAGTATATGGAAAAACACAAAGTAAAACCAGATAGTAAAGCATTCCACTTGCTTCAGAAGTTGCTTACCATGGGCCCAATAAAGCGAATTACCTCAGAACAGGCTATGCAGGATCCCTATTTCTTAGAAGACCCACTTCCTACATCAGATGTTTTTGTCGGTTGTCAAATCCCTTACCCAAAACGAGAATTTTTAACAGAAGAAGAACCTGATGACAAAGGAGTCAAAAACCAGCAGCAGCAGCAGGGCAATAACCACACTAATGGAACTGGCCACCCAGGGAACCAAGACAGCAGTCACACACAGGGACCCCCGTTGAAAAAAGTGAGAGTTGTTCCTCCTACCACTACCTCAGGTGGACTAATCATGACCTCAGACTATCAGCGTTCCAATCCACATGCTGCCTATCCCAACCCCGGACCAAGCACATCACAGCCCCAGAGCAGCATGGGATAATCAGCTACCTCCCAGCAGCCTCCACAGTACTCACATCAGACACGTTGGTACTGAGCTGCGTTGGAATCTTGTCAATGCACTGTTGCTAATGCTGCAGGACCGACTGTACAGCTCTCCGCGGGAACCTGGTATGGGCCATGAGAATGTACTGTACAAACCACATCTTCAAAATGTCCAGTAGCCAAGTTCCACCACTTTTCACAGATTGGGGTAGTGGCTTCCAAGTTGTACCTATTTTGGAGTTAGACTTGAAAAGAAAGTGCTAGCACAGTTTGTGTTGTGGATTTGCTACTTCCATAGTTTACTTGACATGGTTCAGACTGACCAATGCATTTTTTTCAGTGACAGTCTGTAGCAGTTGAAGCTGTGAAATGTGCTAGGGGCAAGCATTTGTTGTTGTATGTGGTGACTTATTTCAGTGTAACAACATTATCTGACCAATAGTACACACAGACACAAAGTTTAACTGGTACTTGAAACATACAGTATGTTAACTCAACAAAATAACCGAGCCTCAAAATGAGATTATTTTGGTACACCTTTCTTTTTAGTGTCTTATCAGTGGGTTGATTGGTTTTCTACATTAATCAGTGTTTTTTGACCAAGAACATTGCTTGGGTTTTTTTGAAAGTACAAAAAGCCACATAGTTTTTTTCCAGAAAGGTTACAAAACTCCCAAAGATTAATTTCCAACTTCTAAGTTTGTTTTTATTTTCAATCTATGACTTGACTGGTATTAAAGCTGCTATTTGATAGTAATTAAATATGTTGTCATTGATATAAACCTGTTTGGTTCAGCAAACAAACTAAAATGATTGTCATAGACAGTGTTTTATTTTTCCTGTTGGTGTTGCTGATTTGTGAGCATGCTTTAAGATGAAAAAAGCATGAATGATAACTTCCTTTAAAAGGTGTGGCATCCAATTCAGATATTTTGTCCTGATTTTAAAGCTGGTTGGTGTAGTGCTATTAAAAAAATTTTGTTCAGTTAATTTTTCTTTTTTAACTTGTTCGCACGTTGTTTAGGGTGCCCTTACTTCAGCAAAGGAGAAGGAGTAGGAGAGCCTTAGAATTTTTGAGGGGAAAAAACCCCTATAACATACAATGTACTGTATCAAACTATTTTACATGAATGACACAAGTATTCTGAATAAAATAGTTGAACATTGTTAAAAACAAGGTGTTATGTAATAAATTTATTTTTCATAAATCAGAATACGGAGTGACCTGTACTTTTTTATACACACAAAGGGCTTTTTTTTTGTTTTAATTTTAAAATGTGCCTTAACCAATGGCCTCTGAATAAATCTCTTAAGTTGTTTTTGATTGATATCTATATGTTCTGCCTCCATAATAAAACTAATGTCTTAAGTCTTAGATATGGATTCTTCTGTTACGCTTAGTATTTGAATGTAAGTTGTTAAATACAGACACCTCCCTAATTGGAAGGTATCTTTGGAGTAATACCTAAATCATTCTGTGCCATGTTGTGAAGGACTTGACTGTTAATCCCCAATAATTATTTTTCCCCTCCTTGAAGACAAAATATAGAAGATTAAAAAAAAAAAAAAAAGAATGAGTCTCCATGGCCCACCAATAATGGATGAGGCTCAATCACAAGGTAGAGACTCAAAGAGTATTCTGTGAGGACTACAAGGTTTGAAATTAATTTATCAATTTTTTTTTGGTGATGGAGATTGAAGATTGTGTATAACAATTATAAAAATAGTCAAATCTAATGTATGGTGCTGGATTTCTAGGATGGCACAATGACACAAAGGGATGCTGAGAGACTTCTGGATTGCTGCTCACATCCTGTTTCTTGGACTGGAAGCTGGTGAAACAGATGTGTTTAGTTTATAAGATTAACTAAACTGCTGGGCTTGGTGGTGCACACTTGTAACCCCAGCTACTGGTTATGCTAAGGCAGGAGGGGTGTTTTACTGTCTAGGGGTGCTGGGTTCATTGTCACTGTTCAGCAAAGAATTGAAGAACAGGACACAGAGATAGAAAGCAAGCAGTATGTTTATTGCAAAAGCAAGATATAGACTTTGAAGAGAAGGGGATGCACACCTGGGAATCCAGTGGGGGAATTTTGGCGTTTTCTTTTCATGGTCTCTGGAATTTTCTCCTTTCCTTATCTTCTCCCCTGTCTATGCTCTCCTGTTATTGATTGGTCCCCGCGCCATCCACACATCTGTTTCAGTTTTTCTATTGGGTCCTCTGCTTAGGTGCACAAGTATGGAAGTGTCTCTATAATTGGGCCCTGTGTTTGTATCCATGAGTACTTTTGTCAACCAGGAAGTTGACCTCATCAGAAGACCTCTCCACGCTCCTTTGTTCTGACACTGCCCCCAACCTCCTCACTAACCATCTTACCCTGGCTGCCTAAGTCCTTTTACATCTCCCTCAATTCCCCTCTCAGAGGATACCCTGACTACTGTTGGGAGTTGGGGCGATGACCACTGTAGCTATTTCAGGTCTACAAGGGGCATCAACGGAGTAACCGGGATATCCTGCTGAGGAAGGTCTAGGGTAAGTGGGAAGCAGCAGGCAGGTCCAGAGGCCAACACTGATGATAGACATCAGTGGGTCCATCAATGGGTCCATGGTAGAAGTCTGGAGGGGACTCCATTTGTCACACCATTTGAAGTTTTATTGTCTCTATCCAAATAAGCAAATTGATAATACAAGGACCCCAAAGAATTAGCAACAGGGCTGACAGAGGCACAAGCAAAAGAAAAAAACCATGAGGTAGATTTTACAGCTTTGGATAATCTGTTGGATGGTGTCCTTCAAACGTTTTCCTGAAGACATTTTCTGTATTAGGGTGAGAGTATTATCTCTTTCCAAATGGTAGAGGTGATGGATAGACTTTAAAACTTTCCACTGGGATGCTTGGGGAAGTGATTGGATGCCCTCAGGAGAAAACCCAACACCCTCTATAATCTAGTTGGTATCTCTGATTAATAGCTTGCTGAGTCTCTTCCATCGAGTAGTGGGGACATTCAGGGGACAGAAAATCATTTTCCCATAGGAATGGGGAAACTGTGGAACCCTGTAAATCAGCTGCCTTGGCTGCTACATCCGCATCCCTATTTCCTTCAGTATTGTGTCTTCTCCCTTCTGATGTCCAGAAATGTGGATAACTGCTACCTGATTGCTCAGGCAGAAAGATTGCCTCTAGGAGACAAAGAGACTTCTTGGCATGCTTTACAGGAATGCCTGCAGCAGTTAAGCAGTCTTCACTTAATTAGTGAGGGCAAATGATTCTGCCACTGAGCACTGGTATTAGTAGGAAGTAGCCCTGATTCAAGAACCTCAAAATCTGTCACAACTGCATATCCAGATCTCCAAGTCCCATCAATCACCGACAAACTCCCATTGGTATACAGAGTGGTCTGGCAGTGTAAGGTTACACTAAAACTTCCTCCCAGGAGTGGAGACGTTTTCCCTCTATCTCAAGTAAGAAAGGTTGGGTTGAGGTTATGACAAGTCTTTAAGGTAATTTCATGTCCTTCCAACAAAAGAGCCCGATATTTGAGTATATGGTTGACTGTTACCCAGAGAATACCTTTAGCATTTAGGATTCGTCCTGTGCCATAGGAGGTAAGTAGAGTTAGCGGGGCTTCCCAGAGTAGGTTGATGTGCCTCAGGGACCAATAGTCCCACTGCAGGCACAGTGCTAAGACATCCAGGCCACCCCTTGGCCATCTTGTATGATTCTTTACTTAGGTATCTCCCTGGCTGGAGAGTGGCCACTCCTGATGGCATAGTGCCAATCCATTCCCCAACTGAGTGGGCAAGCCCAGAGCAGAGGTCTGGGTAACAGCTCTTTTTAAGGTATTGAAGGCTTTCCTCGCCTCTGGAGTCCAATTAATAATTGCCTGTGAATGTCCCTGTGCTTCCTTAAGGCATTCATAGAGGGGTCTTGCCTTCTCAGCACATTCGGGGATCAAAATTCCACAATATGGGGTGTGGGAGGCCGTCGCACTGTGTGACCAGTATTTTCCT